GGCATTATTCAACTTCAATGAAAGCTTGTTATTTGAACATTTGAAATTAGAAAACTCAACACAATGGATTGAGTAGGTGAAATTTAAAATATTTTAAGGAATTTGGTTAAGTACACTCTAAAGAACTCATAATAAAATTGGTAACATTTTACTAAGTCTATAGCTAGAGCAGTAAAATTTAAGCATTGCACTTAGAGCAGAAGGGTCTGGGAATTTGAATTTATAAATGCAGTAAATTAAATATTTTATCTCAAATAATCTCAGACTCAGAGAAAAAGTGGCAAGTATAACAACAAAGTTCTTATCCCCCTGAAAACATTTATGAATAATTTGCTGACATGATACCCTTGGCTCACAAATGTTTTAAAGTAATTTCCTACAATCAAGCACATTTTCAAATGTAACCACAACATAATCATCAAATTCAGGACACACACATTTTTATAGTACTGCCTTCTTTTCTTCAGAAGTCACTCAATATTCACCAATGTTCTCAATTTCCCTTTCTAGGGCAAGGAAACAGAATCACATGTTGCATTTGACTGTCATCTCTCTCCAGTCTCACTTACTCTGGGATAAGATTTCTCAGGTTTTTTCTTCTACTTCCTTGATTTTGACACCTCTTACAGTCTCATACCAGTACTTTTGTTTAATGTCTCTGGTTTTGAGTTTGTCTGATTTTTCTCTTAATTAGATTCAGGTTACTTAACTTTGGCAGAGTTCTTACAAAAAGGAAACTGCCTTCCTCTGTTGCATCTTATTCAGTCAGGAATAAATTCAGTTGGCCTCATTACTGATCATCTTCTCTTTGATCACTTACTAAAAGATGTGTCTTCCAGGCTTTTCCAGTGTTCCCTCTGTAATTAATAAAATTTTTTGATATTCTATGTAAATACGTCATTCCTCATCAAAATTTCCATTTATTCATTTATGTAGATCAGTATGAACTTGTGGCTTACTAATTTGTCTGTTTTTATCATTATTTATTTTGATGCCCCAAGTGACCTAGATTTGACCAATGAAAACCTTGTTTTTAAAGAACTTCTTAGCTTTATGGGATGGAAATGTGTTTTAGGCTTTTTAAATTTTCTCTTCCTCTGCCTTGAAATCAGTAATTCATTAAATAAAAAATATTGCATCTTTTTTGGTAGGAAATGGTGCTAACAAGAAAGACCTTAGTATTTGGTGTTTTAACTGGTTTGGAATTATTGCTGCTCTGAGATTACGAGAGAAGTGAAGGAGAAAATATGCATGCTTATATATATAAGCAATATATGTTCTATATCTATAGTATGCACTCAAAACAATTATATCATAATGCATACTATTTTAATGATTTATTTTCTTATTACCAAGGCAGCATAACTCACAAAGGTGCAAATATTTCATGCTTTGCACGTACAAAATTACTGTACATCCACCACCGTGAAAGTGTCAAAAATTTCTTCTTCTGTCTTTAGTTTTCTCCCTGTTTGCCGCACTCCATCCACACATCTCCTTGGTTACATACAACATCATTCCTGTTGTCACAGTCCAGCAATTTGCTCTTGCCTCAGACACTGTCCATTCTATAGCTTGTCTCCTTATATACCACATGAATTAGTGGGCATTTGCCATAACCTTCTGACTTCCTTTGCTACACATGGCATCCACCGGTTCCAGCCATGTTGTAAAAGACACAACTTCTATCTTTCCGTCTAGCTGAGTGGTGTCCCATTGTGAACGTATGCCACAATTTCTCTATCCACTCATCTGTTTTTGAACATTTGGGTTGTCTCCAGGTTTTAGTCTTTCTAAAGAGCGTGGCAATCAATAGAGGCATGCGTATTTTTATAAATCAGTATTTTTGTCTTCTTGGGATAGATGTGACAAATGGAAGTGCTAGGTTGGATGGTAGTTTCTTGAGAAATCTGCAGCGTTTTCCATAGATAGTCTAGAATCCTCAGTTCTTAGGTAAAGGGATATACCTGATAACCTTTCAGTATTTGTATTGCAAACTACAATTTGTGTGTGTGTGTGTGTGTGTGAGAGAGAGAGAGAGAGAGAGAGAGAGAGAGAGAGAGAGAGAGAGAGGGGAAAAGTGCCTGCCATAGAGGTAGGCTATGTGGGGACCTGGGAGGTGATGAGAGGGAAATTGGGGACACCGGTGCTAGGAAATATACACTGGTGGAAGGATGGGTGTTGGAATACTATATGACTGAAACCTAATTACGAACGATTTCATAAGTGTATATTCCACAGTGTTTCAATACAAAACTTTATTATTTATTTATTTATTTATTTTTGCTTTTTTGGGTCACACCCAGCGATGCACAGGAGTTACTCCTGGTTCATGCACTCAGGAATTTCTCCTGGTGGTGCTCAGGGGACCATATGGGACCATATAGGATGCTGGAAATCGAACCTGGGTCTGCTGCGTGCAAGGCAAACACTCTACCCGGTGTGCTCCAGCCCCTCAATAGAAAACTTTTAAAAAATGCGGTTTTTAACATGAAAAAAAGATAATCTAGAATCCAATTTAAAGTCAATTAGGGTTTCTTTACACTGACTCTCACCATATGCTTTTTTACCTAGATTATTATGTCCTCCTCCTCCTCCTCCTCCTCCTCCTCTTCTTCTTCTCTGACTCTCACCAATATGGTTTTTTACCTAGATTATTATTTCTTCTTCTTCTTCTTCTTCTTCTTCTTCTTCTTCTTCTTCTTCTTCTTCTTCTTCTTCTTCTTCTTCTTTCTTTCTTTCTTTCTTTTTGTATTGATTACTCTCTCTGGTGTGAAGTCATTTTTTTCATTTCCCTGGTAATCATTGATGTGAACACTATTTCATATGCCTGAGTAGGTTTTTTTAAGGAAGTGTTTTCGACTCTCTCCATTTTTGTTTTTTTTTGCAGTGCTCAGGGTCAAGTTACTCCTCCAGCTATGCTCTGGAACCATTAATAGTAGTCCAGTATTAAGTCAGAGTCAGCCACATGCAAGACTGAACCTTTTTCCTCAACCCCCAGAATCTTTTAAGTTTGATGTAGTTTCTTTTTATAATTTCTGTCTGTATTTTCTTTGCCTGGGCTGGAGCGATAGCACAGTGGCAGGGCGTTTGCCTTGCACGCAGCCAACATGGCCGAGCCGAGTTCGATTCCTCTGCCCCTCTCGGAGAGCCCGGCAAGCTACCGAGAGTATCTCGCCTGCACGGCAGAGCCTGGCAAACTCCCCGTGATGTATTTGATAAGCCAAACACAGTAACAACAAAGTCTCCAATGGAGACGTTACTGGGCCCGCTCAGCAAATCCACGAACAATGGGAGGGCCTTTACCTTTACCTTTACCTTTTCTTTGCCAGTGGAGTTCAGTCATTGAAGATACACCTAAAATCAGTATCACAGGCAGTTCTACATGTTTTCCTAATAAATTTTAAAATTTGGATCTAACATCAAAATCTTTAAGTCATTTCCCATTAACTTCTAGATATACAACATGTATGTAGTAATCCAATTTCACTTTCATGTGTGTGACTATCATTTTCCCCAATACCGTTTGTTGAAGAGACTTAACATTTTCCACTCAATACAACTAACGTCTCCGAGTTAAATTCACTATCCATATAGATGAGGGTTCTGGGTTCTCAGTTATATTTCTTTGATTTTAAACTATGCTTCTATTTCAGTTATAAACTATTTTGTGTAGTATAGCTTTATAGTACAGTTTAAATTCAGGAAATGAACTTCTGTAATTCCTATTAGCCAAGGTTGGGCTTTGAAATCTTGTTCCAAACCCTGAACTCCCCCACAGATACGTTCTTCCTATCTCTCGGACTCTGACAATCTGGTATGATCTATCACTATACATACACAGTCCAAACGTCTACCTTGATTGCACCCCCGAATTGTTTTCGCACTAGATTGTTCAGAAAAACAGAACAGAATGGGAAGAAGAGAAAGAACTAAATATTAATTTAATTTTACACTTTTCAAGTGTGCTGGAAATAGGATCAAGTTCTCAAACATGTGAAGCGTATACTCTACCAATGAGCTAGTGTGAGCTTCACAATTGCACCATAGCACTGTCCTCCCATTGATCATCAATTTGCTCGAGTGGGCACCAGTAACATCTCACAACAAATTGTGAAACATGTTGTTACTGTTTTTGTCATATCAAATACATCACGAGGAGCTTGCCAGGCTCTGCCGTGCTGGGTGGGATGATCTCGCTAGCTTGCCGGGCTCTCAGAGAGGGGCGGAGGAATCAAACCCTGGCCTTTCTCATGCAAGGCAAAGGCCCTACCTGCTGTGCTATCACTCAGGCCCAAGCTTCACAATCAGTGCCTTTAAATCACAGTGACCTCTGAGTAACATATTTTCTGCACTAAAGTTTTCTGCATGAACACTTAGGAGGACACATTCTTTTGTCTTAAGTCTTAATTTTTCTAAAATATTGTGATTTCTTCTAGACTTTATTTTCCCGGCTTTTTTTCTCATGGGGATCAGAGTCCAGAAATGAATGCATGAAACACTTTAATCTAATTTATGTACCAGTCAGAAAATATTTTAGATTTTATTTACACCCTTGGTGTTGTTGGAAATATTACATTTATATTACCTCATGACTGCCCTTCAATTTGCAAGTCCTTATCAATATTCAACTATTTTATGCCATATGGCATAAGGCTTGGTCCACATGATTTGGCAACAGAGAAACTTGGAACATTTTGTTTTGGAAAAATTGAGCTACAAAATATGTCACTAATTACTGTATCTTTGCAACAGCAACAAGATTTTCTCCCATGAATTGTTATAATCAACTTCAGTTTTCAGGGGAAAAAAATTAGAAAATCTCAAGTTAGATTAAGAGGCTATTTGTATAATTGAAAGAAAAACAAGAAGACAGTTTTCTCTCTAATTTCTTTACTAACTTTTGTTATCTCATCTACAAGGCAATTTAAAAATTAAAAAAATGGCAATTTCCTCTGGTTATGAGATTCATTTAAATTTACCAACCAAGATGTTGGTAATTAGGTCTTTCTTCTAGAAATGTGGTCAAAAATGACAGCTTGAATGTAGAGATCTGTCTGTATAGGGATTCGAATAGAGTTGTCTCCTGGTTGAACCTAAAAACATAAATTAGATTGTTAATGAGTCAAGTCCATGCAAATCAATGGCAATAAGTGAATTTTTTTGTCGGTTAAAGCAAACATATCTTAAAAATGTGTGAAAACATTTTCGTTCCCCAACTGATTTTTTTTCCCCCTCAGAAATTATAATCTTCAGTCCAGAGTTTAAGGTCCTGTGCTGTGTCTCTACTGAGAATATCTCAAACTAAAGCAGTTTCCCAGTTTCCTGTTCTTCTAAATTCTGCTGAACTAACCGTAGAAAACCAAGAGCAGGGTTCTGCAAACACAGGTGACTACAGGATAGTCGGGCTGGAGCGATAGCACAGCGGGTAGGGCGTTCGCCTTACACGCGGCCAACATGGCCAACCCGAGTTCGATCCCTCCGCCCCTCTCGGAGAGCCCAGCAAGCTACCGAGAGTATTCGATATGCCAGACACAGTAACAACAAAGTCTCCAATGGAGACGTTACTGGGCCCGCTCGAGCAAATCGACGATCAACGGGAGGGCCTTTACCTTTACCTTACCTTTACCTGTTTGGAGCTGTTTTGGGCTGTAGAAAGTACTTGTCTGTAATGGGCTTCATTGAAAGGCTTCTAAACACTTTCAGATCACATCTGTCAGAACAGAGAGATGGCGCAAAAGGGTGCATTGCAGCTTTGTAGGTGCAAGGCCTGGTGCTCCTACACACTACCAGGAGAGGTCCCCAAGAATTGTGCTGGCAGTATTCTCAGAACATTTCTGGGTGTGGCCTCCAAAAGGTTCTCCCACCCAAAAAAGGGGACAAAACCAAATCATGTCTTTTTATCTTTTCTCCCATTCAGAATGATAGCACTGTAGCACTGTCCTCCCGTTGTTCATCGATTTGCTCGAGCTGGCACCAGTAACGTCTCCATTGTGAGACCTGTTGTTACTGTTTTTGGCATATTGAATATGCCACGGGGAGCTTTCCAGGCTTTGCCATGTGGGCAGGACCCCCTTGGTAGCTTGCCAGGCTCTTGGAGAGGGACGGAGGAATCGAACCAGGTCTTCTGCATGCAAGGCAAATGCCCTACCCGCTGTGCTGTTGCTCCAGCCCTCAAAATGATAAAACTGTGAGAAATCTGGTCCTTTTACCTTTGTCCAGAAAAATCATATTTATGGGTTTCTACAAAACTCCTTTGAGAACAGGAATTGAATAATGTGCTATAGAGAATAGAGAGATGCTAACAAAATAGAAGATGGCCTATCCACCCTAGCTCTTTTCTTGCATTGTTCGTGTGCAATTTTATAAATCTTCAAGTTGTAGACAACTAGTATGAAAAATATTATCTACAAAAATGCAAACTACAAAGATGCAAACTAATTATTCTGTGTTGAGACCTGTTTTACATCTCTTTGAAAATTAATTGAAATTTTGTTTACTCCCTAATTATGTTCTGTCCTCGAATTCTCCTTTGAACTGCTGGTGTTTACTGGTTCCTTTCATAATTAATAAATTAAACAAAACCTTTAGCACATATATTTTATGTATTTTGAGAGAGCCAGAATTCTGTTCCTTTTAGGCAATTATCTTGTAAATATTTTAGAGGTTCCACTATGGTTCCCAATGGATTCATCAGTGACTGAGTAGTTTGTGTCACTGGAGAAGTGTTACAACGCAAGGGCAATTTAAAACTAGGTATTTATTTTCTTGGCTCCCGGAGGTAAAGCCTCAGTAGCAACAGAACTTTCACTTCGCTGATTCTGTTTCTTTAAGTATTTCCCTTTTCACTAGTTTTGTTTTGTACTTTGAAACTTTTACAAGAGATAAATTATTCACCATTGGTAGCAGCAGTGATTTGGAAATTGGTTTTGTTGCCTAATCTTTTGATCGTTGTACAACAAATTAACAAATTATGGAAATTTATCCTTTCTTTGATGAGCGACAACAGAGTCTGATGTCGCAGCATTTTATTTCCTGTGTTTATTTGTCTGCACTTCTACTTGAGCTCATATAAAGTCTGATATTCCCTTTATGTAATTTTTTTTATATGTGGACTGATAGCTTTTGTTTAATTTTGACTGATGATTATATTTATAACTACTGCTATAAACACTTTGTAATCTCTATAGACTATGTCTAAATATATATGTAGGATATATAGGATTTGCTTAAAATTATTTATATATGTATATGTATTAGGCCTTTACAACTTTTTGTATATAATATTTTCTTCTCTCTTTGGTAGTAATACATTTATTTCAAAAGTCTCCTAACTTAAAGAAACTACATTCTGATTGACTAATAGAGTTCTTAGTAAAAATATACTCTTGATAAATATTTATAAATTTTCAAGACAATCTGAAAATTAAAGATTTTAAACTCTATATGTGAAATACTTAAAAGATAGTATTAAAGGGAAATACTTAAAAGATAGTTTTATAGAATCAACTTAGAATGTTTTGAAATTTAAGTTTATAACTAGGATAAATCTTTGGTAAAACATGAGGCTTCTATAATACTTAGATTTTTTTGTTTGTTTGTTTGTTTTTGGTTTTCAGCCACACTCAGCGGTGTGCAGGGCCTACTGCTGGCTGTGCACTCAGGGATTACCTCTGGTAAGGCTGGGGAGACCATATGAGGTTCTGAGTATTGAACATAGGTTGGTCACATGTGAGGTAAATGCCCTACCTGCTGTAAGATCTCTTCAGCCCCTTTAACAATGCTTTAAACATCTTTTTTTCTGATTTACCAATGTTAAATTTAATGTAATATCGCTTTTCTGCTAGGATTTACTTAAAATAATTCAAAACTACTGATCAAATAAGCTAATATCACTCCTACACAATATTTAAAACAATAAGAAATATAAATGTGTGCTCAAAATTTGAATCATCATTTCAACAACTTTTTCAATAGTAATCATGTATTTCAGTATGTCAGCTTGAATATAACTCCCCCAAAGCTTAGGTAACATAAAAGATTAGATTATTTTAAGAATATTTATAAAATTTAAATGAATATTGAATAATAAATATTTTTAGGACTAGATAATTTGTAATAAAGAACACTAAAAAAAGAGTTGAATAATTCTTATGAAATTTATTTTCTTTGTTATCTTATCGTTGCTAAATGAATATGTTAATTTTATCTCTTTAAAAAAGGTAGGGATGATTACAGAAAGTTAAATTATAAGCTTCATCAGGCTGTTAAACAGCTTTTAAGGAAGATTATTACTTTTTCTACCTCTATATTTTCCCCCTATGAAATGGAAGTACTTTGGTTAAAAGTCACAGATAACATGAATGATTACAGTATGACATCATTTGTGTGTGTGTGTGTGTGTGTGTGTGTGTGTGTTTCATTTCCAAGGGTTTTATTGTGGAAATTTACTGTAGTCCATATCCAAAATAATAGATTTTCATGTTTTTTATATTTTTTTGTCCTATTTGACCAAAGTTCCTTGTGGTCAGAGTGATAGTATCACAGTTAGGGCACTTGATTTGCACGTAGCCAACCTGGGTTCAAACAGCGGGACTCCGTATGGTGATGGAGCCCATCAGGAGTCGTCTTTGAATGCAGAGCCAGGAGTAAGCCCTGAGAACAGCACGCCTCCACCACTCTGCACCCACCAGCCACCACCACCCAAAAAACAAGAATCCTAATTTATGAAGAGCTAAGGTTCTTTACAGTCATACTAGTATTCAGTAATATTTTAATGTTTCACAATTAAATAATTAGCTAACGATTCTGTGTATAGCAACCTGATCCCATCTAATTAAGTATGCAAATGTATCTTGACAATTTTTCCTGATTTTTGTACTTTTATACCGTAATCTAGCACTGTAACACTATAGACTCTTTGTTCACTGATTTGCTCTAGCAGGCACCAGTAACATCTCCATTGTGAGATGTTGTCTAGCGATGTTATCTAAATACAGAAAAACGTAAAAAACCTTTCTACACCCAAAACTCTCTTAGATTTCCTAGAGAGTTCCTGAGAAGAATCATTGCAATTTACTCTTTCACCTTGAGAAAATTTTTCAAATTGGAATAGATAAGCGGTCTTACTTACTTCAGGGAATTCCCTGAAGTTATACTATTTACTTTAATATCTTATGATACACTTTTCTCTCAGGGAAAACATTCATAGCAACTCTTAATATTTCTATCAGCTTGCAATGTTTTTCTTTTTATTTATTGATGTTTTTATCAAATGCTTTGCCTAATGATACCAGAAACAAAAGTAGTATAAAATCATCGGTCACAATTCAATCTATTGGTTAAATAATTACAAATGCTTATTCCTACTGAAGACTTGCTGAGCCCTTTACTTGATATTCTTGCTATGAATAATTATATCTCAGGATTATTTTATGCGGTGTTTCAATATTCTTTCCTCTATAAAATTTTCCCTCATTTTTTGAATCAGCTATAATATTTACATTTTGTATTTCATGCCACAGGAGTACAAATAAAATGAACTTCCAATCTATTGTATTTGTTATATTATGAGCCATTATCAAACTATTAACATTTGATAATTATTACTGGTATACGAAGCACTGTAGATTTATTACTAGTAAATCATTGTAGACTACCATTTAGAGATAAATATTTTTTATCATGAGCTGGAGTGATAGCATAGCGGGTAGGGCATTTGCCTTGCATGCGACCGACATGGCCGATCTGAGTTCGATTCTTCCATCCCTCTCAGAGAGCCGTCCCTCTTGTGGAGCCCAGCAAGCTACCGAGAGTATCTCACTCACATGGCAAAGCCCGGCAAGCTACCCATGAGGTATTCGATATGCCAAACACAGTAACAAGTCTCACAATGTTATTGGGCCTGCTCGAACAAATCAATGAACAATGGGAGGACAGTGACAGTGATTTTTATCATTTAACATACTTTAATATGTTAATGTACAACATAATTATTATCATCATACTATTAGCATTATATGTAATAATATAATTAGCATTATATGTTAATACTATGCTAATATTATGCTAATGTTACGACAGTATTGTCATCTCA